ATCCAAAACCACCTTGGAGTGGTAGAAAGTCTAGCTAATGACTATAAATTAAGCGCTTCTTGGGAGGCAACCCAAGCATAAAAATTTCTTTTATTTTTCTTTTATAGTTCAGATTTTCTTTTAATTTTTTTTCTTTTTCTCTTTATGGCCTAGGTTAATGCATAAATTGTTGTTCTTTGATTTTGGCCAGGTCATTGAACAAGTTTGGGGGACAAGATTATGGAAATTCACATGCTAGAAGTCTCCTCTAAATGAAGACAACTCAACTTCAAAACTTCAATTTTAAGTCTTCAAGTGCAAAACTTGGGAAGTTTCTCTTTTCTCTTACTTTTATTTTACATTGAGGACAATGTTTGATTTAAGTTTGGGGGAGAGAATAACTTTTAGGCATCCATTCTTACATTAGTTGCATTCATATTTGCATGATATACATTTTTTTTAGAAATTAGGGATTTTTTTTTTTAGGAATTGGTCCAATTAGTGTCAAGGAATTGAATATTCATGTGTTAGAGCTTTTAAAATCTTTTAATCTTAGAGGAGATACAAATCTGAAAAATAACACCATTGTGATGAAGTTTAAGTTCATAAGTATTGTATTCTATTTAAGCACAAGTTTGTAGTGAGAAGTTTAGAGAGAAGACTTAGTAGCATCTAAAAAGCACCAAAAAAAGAAAAGAAAGCCAACACACAAAAGAGTTTATTAATTTCTACTCCAATGTTTCTAGTTGCTTAGTAACTGGGGGTTAGGCATGAAACTCATGTCAATTTTCACGTCAAACGGCGACTTGAAATATGAGTATGCAAAGCACTTTGAGTTTATGACTTGTTGAGTAACCGGGTGCTTTCATCACAAATGTTAGTATTCGCGTCAAAAGACAAGTGATAACTTAGGGAAGAATGTGTTGTATGGCTGAAGAAAAAACAAAAAGAAGAAGAGAAGTCGAATGTTTCGTGGCCTTTGTTACTTGAGTAAGTATGTTCTTAGGGGTGTCTCTTCACCTAATGCCCTAAAGCCAACTGGTTTAAGAGTCATTGACAAAAAGCTCGTTACATGGGTAACTTAGAAAGCCTAAGGAAACTCGACCTATGAAAAAAAATTGAGGAAAAAAAAAAAGATAGTAATAAGTGCTAAGGTGTGAAGGTCTAAATTTGAAACTTCTTACTATAAATTTCCACACACACACTAAGTGCTCATGGGCTAAATCTTTTAACAAGTGGTGTGAAGAATAAGATGGAGTATTTTACTTTAAGTGAGCATATGAAAACTTTTGAATATTTGAGACTTTGCCTCTAATTGACCTTTAATTCCTAAATTTTCTTTGCATACATATCATATAGTTACATTTTTTGCATTGGGATTTTGTGGGTAGATCCGCTGCAAACCCTCGCGAGACACAACTCGTCCACTAGGGTGACCTAGGGGTTTTAAGGCTTGTTACACATGCTAAGTGCAATCGTGATTTCTACGAAAGTGAGTTAGATTTTATTTTTGTTTTTTTATTTTTTTTATTTATTTTACTCAAGGACGAGTAAAACTTAAGTTTGGGGGAATTCAACTTCTAAATTATCAAACTCAAAAAACTCCTTTGGGAAACACCCCTCAGATTCATCCATTTCTAAATGTAAATTACCTGTCATAAAAAAAAAAATGAAGTTCAAAGATCAGAATGTGGATCTAGAATTTGAGCATGGCCACGCATTTATCTAGAATTTTGGAAACAAATAGGAGTTGTTCTCCATCTATAGACCTAGAGTTCTCAGGAATATATAAGGCTTCCTTATGAATTTTGTGCTAAAATTTCATGAGTAGAACCTGTTAATGTTGCAAATAACGGAGGCAAGGCATCTCTATCTAAAAACAGTATAATGATTGTACCGATCTACTATATGAAATGCACTCCGTTAGTCCTTCCGTCAATTTGGGCCATTAACTCGGCTACATGGCATTTTTTATTTTTATTTTTTGATGACATGGCGAGGACAACTTAAAAAGGTGTTGATCTGAACTTTTTTTGATGACATGTCATCTTCCTCTTCTTCCCCTTCTTTCTTTCTCTTTCTTTCTTTCCTACATTGCCTGCAAACCACTAATATTCTCATCTTCACTCTCTGCAAAATCAATCTAACTCATATCTTCTTATTCTCTGAATGCTCTCTCATCTCCACTCCATCTGCAAAATTGATCTTAACCCATTTCTTCTTCTTCTCTGAATGCTTTCTCATCTCCACTCCATCTACAAAACCGATCTTAACTAATTTCTTCTTCTTCTCTTTTCTCAGGGGAACTTGAGAAATTGACCAAATGCAAGGAATTCGTGGTGAGATTTGCTCGAGTTGTGTTGCCTCTACTGCTAGTGGGGTGAGTCCTTACAAAATAATATGTCTATGAACCCTAGAATGCTCCAAAGGAGAATTTGGAATTCTTTGTCATTGAACTCAACTACTGGGTTTCATTGAAGCCTCAAACCTAGCAGATCTTATCAAATCAAATTAACCCTTTAATAAACAATATCAATCAAACTCTAATCAAATTCCAACAAAAATACAATTAAACTCTAATCAAATTCCATTGTAAATCAACTCCCAAATTTATTAACAATTGGGAATGGAAATTGAAAGAACCCAGCCAATCTGGGTTTCGACGAACCTAGCCTTCGACAAAACCAACAAGGCTGGTTCGCGCGACCAGCAAGGTTGGGTTCGTCGAAACCCAGCAAGATCGTCAAAACCCAGCCTTGCTGGGTTCCGATGAACCTCGACGAACCCAGCAAGGTTGGGTTTTGACAAACCCAATTGCTGGGTTCATCGGAACCAAGCCTATTTCTACCAACCCAGGGTAGGAAAGAAAAAAAGAGAAAGAAAGAAAGGGAAGAAGAGGGATTGGGAGGGTGAGGGTAATAAGGTAATTTTATTTGTTTTTAATTAAAATATAAATATTAATCTACGTGGTATTTTTATTTATTTATATAACATAATTATAATATGTATTATTGCCACATCATCAAAAAAATTAAAAGACAATGCCACATGAAATTATTTAACTGCAACATCATACTTAACTGATGGAGGGACCAAAACTGTGTAATTTTTAGAGTCGAGGGATCAAAAAAATGTAAAAAAATGTTGAGGGACCAAAAATGTGCATTTCGTAAAGTTGAGGGACTAAATTTAGCATTTAACCTACAAAATAATATGTCTATGAACCCTACAATGCTCCAAAGGAGAACTTGGAATTCTTTGTCATTGAACCCAGTTATTGGGTTTCATTGGAGCCTCAAACCTAGCAGATCTTATCAAATCAAATTAATCCTTCAATAAACAATATCAATCAAACTCTACTTAAATTCCAACAAAAATACAATCAAACTCTAATCAAATTCCATTGTAAATCAACTCCCAAATTTATTAACAACTGGGAATGGAAATCGAAAGAACCTAGTTGATCTGGGTTTTGATGAACCCAGCCTTCGACAAAACCAGCAAGGCTGGGTTCGTCGAAACCCAGCAAGATCGTCGAAACCCAGCCTTGCTGGGTTCCAATGAATCCCGACGAACCCAGCAGCTGGGTTCGATGGCGAACCCAACTGTTGGGTTCATCAAAACCTAGCAAGATCGTCGAAACCCAGCCTTGCTAGGTTCCAATGAATCCCGACAAACCTAGCAGCTGGGTTCGACGGCGAGCCCAACTGTTGGGTTCATCGAAACCCAGCAAGATCGTCGAAACCCAGCCTTGCTGGGTTCCGATGAAGCCCGACGAACCTAGCAAGGCTAGGTTTCGACGATCTTGCAACCCTTCAATAAATAATATCAATCAAACTCTAATCAAATTCCAACAAAAATACAATCAAACTCTAATCAAATTCCATTGTAAATCAACTCCCAAATTTATTAACAACTGGGAATGGAAATCAAAAGAACCCAACTGATTTCGGTTTTGACGAACCCAGCCTTCGACAAAACCAGCAAGGCTGGTTCGCGCGACCAGCAAGGCTTAGTTCGTCGAAACCTAGCCTTGCTAGGTTCGTCGAAACCTAGCCTTGCTATGTTCGTCGAAACCTAGCCTTGCTGTGTTTGTTGAAACCCAGCAAGATCGTCAAAACCCAACCTTGCTGGGTTCCGATGAACCCCGACAAACCCTACAAGGTTGGGTATCGACAACCCAGCCTTGTTGGGTTCCGATGAACCCCAACGAACCCAGCAAGATCATCAAAACCAACCTTGCTAAGTTCTGATGAACCTCGACGAACATAGCAAGGCTGGGTTTCAACGAACCCAACCTATTTTTACCGACTCAAGGTAGGAAAGAAAGAGGGGGAAGAAGAGGGATTGGAAGGGTGAGGGTAATGAGGTAATTTTATTTGTTTTTAATTAAAATCTAAATATTAATTTACGTGGTATTTTTATTTATCTATATAACATAACTATAATATGTATTATTGCCACATCATTAAAAAAATTAAAAGACAATGCCACATGAAATTATTTAACTGTCACATCATACTTAACTGACGAAGGGACCAAAACTGTGCAATTTTTAGAGTCAAGGGATCAAAAAAACGCAAAAAATTGTTGAGGGACCAAAAATGTGCATTTTGTAAAGTTGAGGGACTAAATTTAGCATTTAACCTTTTAAATTTGCTTATTAAGACCTAAATATAAAGTTAATGAATAAGTTGAATCAAACCCCAATGTTATGCAACTGTGTTTAAACGAATGATTGTGAAGTGCACGTATGCCATTCCCCACTCCTAATCAAACCCCTGAATCTTGATCTCTGTGCAGACCTCTTTTAGGTGACTTGTCCTACCTTATAATTTGGACGAGTGGCAACTCCTTTTCTTATATTTTTCACACTTAATGTAATGTTTTAAGTTGTGTGGTCATCAACAGCCACAAAATGTA